TGAGGTGCCGGTAGCCCTAAACCCTAAACCTAAACCCAATCCTAAACCCTAAACCCTAAACCCAATCCTACACCCTAAACCCTGCGCTGTGAGGGTTCAGGGTTTGGGTTTTTTAGGTTTTAGGGTTTTTGTCTTCCTAGTGGTTTGGTGGTTTGTTTTTTTTAGGTTTTAGGGTTTTTGTCTTCCTAGTGGTTTGGTGGTTTGGGTGTTTCGGGTTTAGGTTTTCTGTCTTTGGGGTTTGGGGTTGTGGGGGTTTCGTGTTTAGGGTTATTGTCTTCCTAGTGGTTTGGTGGTTTGGGGGTTTCGGGTTTAGGGTTTTTGTTTTCAGGGTTTGGGGTTGTGGGGTTTGGGGGTTTCGGGTTTAGGGTTTTTGTCTTCCTAGTGGTTTGGTGGTTTGGGTTTTTTAGGTTTTAGGGTTTTTGTCTTTAGGGTTTGGTGGTTTTGGGGTTTCGGGTTTAGGGTTTTTGTCTTCCTAGTGGTTTGGTGGTTTTGGGGTTTCGGATTTAGGGTTTTTGTCTTTAGGGTTGGGGGTTTGGGGGTTTCGGGATTAGGGTTTTCGTCTTTCGGGTTTGGGTGATCAGGGCATAGGGTTTAGGGCAAGTGGATTTAGGGCTTTAGGATTTAGGGTTCAGGGCAATACAGGGTTCAGGGTTTAAGGTTTATTAGGGTTGTAGGATGAGGGCTTTCGGGCTGTAGGTTGTCGGGTTTGGATTATTGTTGTTGTGTTCAACGCTGCAGCTTACGGCCGTTCCCATCGCAGCTGTTTATGATGTACAGTCACTGCTCGCACATTTTGCCAGTGCTTGGTACACTTGTTGGCTTTGTGCGAACTAGAGTTACGGTTGTTCTGGGGACCGTCTTCTTCGATCTATTTCCGAATAATGACAACACGTAGCGGACGTGGCGTTGATCTGAAAATTAGTTTAAGCATCCCCTTGCAGTCCCTAGGCAACAAGGCTCTCATATGCCGCAAAGCCCTGTCCTAAGTATTGCTAAGACCCCTATCTCATAGGAGCCTTCTAAAAATCCATTTGTCTCACTCCAACTATTACGGCCCCGATTTGGGGTTGGGACGACGTAGTTGTGAGGCTTTGGCATACGGAGTTCCAGAAACAACACGTTGGCTGGCATGGACCCTAGATGATCCCAAACCCCTAACCACCTAAACCTCGATCGAAACCCTAAACCCCTAGATCCTAAACAAACCGCAAACCACTAAACCCTAAATAATTAGTTAGTGAACTGAAAGATGGGCTTCCGACGCCGCCGTCGTTGAAAGAGCACTTGAAAAGTGTCAGATTTCATCTTGGTAGTTCTTTAAAATGGGGGGGGGATCCTTTAAAGATGTTATAGGGCTCTGAAAAGGTTCCGGTTAAAGGGTAATTACTATGGGTTCTTTCTTGGGGCCCCCTTGATTCAGGTAGTTATCGAAACTAGGGTCCCTTTTCGGGTCCTTTCATAACGGTGCCGGACTGTTTGGGGGAGCTTGACCTAAACAGGGGTCCTAATTGAGAGAAATGCCCCGGATCGCAAGGCCAAGGCGTTGGCCGGTGATGATGAACAGAAAGAGAGCAAGAAGAGGCGGAGAATCTCGGTTTGGTGTTTGGTCACACAGCAGCTATCAGTTCACCCAAAGTCAGGAGCATATTCTGATAGTGACAGAAGACGGTTCTGCAGCTAGTGGAAGCTGTGGCGGTTCATTGAGGTGCAGTCGGTGCTCTAGGCAGGTTTAGGGTTTGGACTCAGAGCTCTTAGCTTCTGTGCTGGCTTTGCATTCGGGGTATTCATGGTATTGAGATTGGTGTTCTTGGTCCTTTCCATCGGAAGTTACTTAAGATCAACGATTGAACCCCCGAAACTCCAAACCCTACACTACAAAGCCTATACCATGAACCTTAATCCTTAAAACGAGACAACACAGACCCTAGACCCTGAGCTCTGAACCACGCCAAGGCCTCAACATAAAACGCCAGGACGTCCGACCCTTATATACGGTTTCTTGACTTCCTCGAAAGCCCGATTCAGGGTATAATATAGGGGCCTAGATAGTTACCAATACTATTTGGGGGGATCCTTATTATAATTACAGGATAAAGGGCCCCAAAACCCCATTCTAATCATTAAGGCGCCTACATTAGGGCTAGCCATTCGATGTTCCCACTACTTCCTCACCCCGGCAAAACTAGAACCTAAATGCGGGAGATCGTCACAGCCTTAGTCTTGCCGATTGCGTCGGTGCCCCTAAACCCTAAACCCCTAAACCCCAAACCCATCACCATCGAAATCCAACCTACATCGAGAACATCCGAATATGGAGGCCTGAATAATTAGAATAGGGTTTTGGGGTCCATTCTACTTTAATTATCAAAAGGAACCCCCAAAAAATAGTATAGGTAATTATTTAGGCCCCTACATTAAAAATTTGCGTCGTCATCCTAAACCTGAGACATGCTGGATCCTGAACCCCGATGCCAGGCAATGGAGTAGAATGCCTCGAAACCCCAAAACCCCAAGCCTTAGGGTTTGGGGTTTGGGGTTTAGGGTTTAGGGTTTACGGTTTAGGGTCGAAACCCCAAGCCTTAGGCCCTGAACCCCCGAAGCCCTATGATACCTCCACGCTTTTTTCTCGTCCTTGGGATGCCAGCCTAGAATGCCTCGAAACCCTAAGCACTAAAGCCCTAAGGTAGGGGCCTTAATAACTAGAATAGGCTATAACTATAATAAGGAACCCCAAAACCTTTTCTAATTATTAAGGCCCCTACATTAAACCCTCAAGCCCTAAACCTCCGAGGCCTGTAACACCTTAGGAGTCTCCGATGGGGTCGCCAAGCTTTCTCCCGTCCATCGGATGCCAGGAAGAAGGGGCCTCTGACCGAGGAGGAGCTCCAGGAAAAACGCGCCCAGAGAAACAGGCGGACTCGCTAGTGTTGTGAGAGAGAGAGAGAGTAATACGTAAAAATGTATACAACTAAATACATATATATATATATATATAAGACACATATGCAGGCAGGGAGGTAGGTAGGTAGGTAGGTAGGTAGGTAGGTAGGTTGGCATGCGTGCATGTACGTATGTCTGAAGGTAGGTCGGTAGTTATTTGTTTGTTCGCTTGCTTGCTTGCTTGCTTGGTTGCTCGATTGCTTGGTTGGTTGTTGGCTCGACTGCTTGGTTGCTTGTGTGCTTGCGTGTTTTGTTGGATGTTTATTTGCTTGTTTATTTGGTTGGTTGGTTGGTTGGTTGGTTGGTTGGTTGGTTGGTTGGTTGGTTGGTTGGTTGGTTGGTTGGTTGGTTGGTTGGTTGGTTGGTTGGTTGGTTGGTTGGTTGGTTGGTTGG